GACACCCTTTCCCCCAGAGCCCATCCAGGCCTGCAATGTCTGGAAAAGACCTCTTGGGGACGGGGAGAAAGCCCGGTGGGAATGTGGACTCGGGCTAGAGTCCCGGGACCCCCGCTTTCCTTACAAGGAATACGGAACTAGAAGCCCCAACTAAACAATATCAGTGAGATTCGGATAGAAGACTCCAAAAATGGGGCTTTCCTCCTTTTCCTCCTCCGCTAGCCACCCCAAAATAGACGATCCACTAGGCAGAGTTATTATAGTTGTGAGTAGGAGCTGGGGACTGATCTGGACAGGTCAGTTATGAAACAGCCCCAAGAAGTGAGCAACCTGTATCCTCATCCCCACCCAGGAGGTCACAAGGAAGATGAAGCTAAGTCCCAGCTCTGAGTTGGGTGAAATGGGTCCGCTTTGGAAGTTTGAAGAAATAAGCTTTCAGCTTGGACTAAATGATTTCAGGGAGATGAGAAGGCGTCAAGTGGGGGGAACTCAGTAGGGTTTTCACCCTCCGGGGCCAAGAGCTCTTCGTTTGGGAAAAAGGAAGCACTGGAAGCCACGGAGGCTCCCGAGAAGTAAGCGCTGCAGGAGATGGGATCCCCCTCCCGGAAACAGAAACGAAATTCCAGCTGATGGAGCCCATCCCCCTGTGTTTTCTCCCACCCTCTCCTCCTGTGGGTCTCCCGGCCTCAGCACTCAGATGCTACCGTCTCTTGAGGTTGTCCAGAACCTTTCGGTTGCTGCAAATAGGAGCCTCTAACTTAAAATAATAATAAAAATAATCATAATAAAAGAAAACTTTCCCAATTATCTCTCCTGGAGAAAGGAATCGGGGCTGAGGTGGCGTTTTGGAAAACCCTTAAGGGAAACTGAGATCTGAGGACGCCAAAGACGTCCTAAAGGTCAGCTGGGTCAAGGAGACTCGGGTAAGGTAGGCCCAGGCCCAGCACACACTCCCAGAAACTCTCCTCTATCTGCACTGGCAGCTGCCAAAGCTGTGGATTTTGCCACGATGGCAGTCGCCATCCACTCGTGATCCATTTCCCTGCTTCCCCGTTCCTTCTCTTTCCAACTCCTGCCCAGTCAATTTCACCAACGTGGATCCAGGTCGAGGCTCAAGAGGTGGAGGTACAGACCCGGGGGGGGGGGGGCGGAGAGAAGAAGCAATAGGACCATGGGGAGGGCAAGCTGCTCTCTTTCCTTTTTGCAGTTACCTAGCTCAACCATCTCCAAATCAGACAATAGAGCCAGGTCCCTGGGGACCTCCACATCTGCTCAAAATAGTGTCCAATGAATTGGATTTCTATGGTAGGGTATGAACCGAACACAGCCACCAGTCTCTCCACATTCCTGCCTTAGCCTCTGCCACCTTGCTTCTCTCCGTGCCCCAAGCACAACTCAGGTGGAGCCTCCAATCGCTGTGCCAGTGTCCGGGTAGGAGTAGAAGTAGGGGCACTGCTCCGAGACTCCAGGAGTCGGCACACTGCTTGTGCTAGTGTGCACCGGGATACGGGGATGTATGTGTGTTCCTGCGTCTGGGTAATGTATCCCCAGCTACAGAGCCGCACACGCGGCCGGAGCCTGCTTGTTCACAGAAATACTCTTGGGAGAGGCGAACCTTCGCTCGGAGCTACTGTTCGCAATAGCTATCCTCGAAATCCTCAGCAGAGACCCCATAAACCGGAGGGCTTTTGCCTTGTATGAAACACCTGATCTTAATCAGACCTTAGTCCCACCAAAGAGAGACAGCACTTTCTACTTTGTGTTTGCTTGTGCGTGTGCGTGTGCGTGTGCGTGTGCGTGTGCGTGTGTGTTGGAGGGAGGAAAGGGGGGGGGCAGGCAGAGAGAGAGAGAGACAGAGAGAGACAGAGAGAGACACGAGAAACTCCTGTCCCGGGCCCTGGAGAGCAGACAGAGACTCAGGCTAAAGTTACCAGCGAAGAAGAACGCCCTTCTCTGGTTCAGTGGCTAGCTGCGTCCAGCTTGGAGGGTATGCTCAAACTCAGACCTCTGCCGCCTGCCTGGACACCCGACCCCCTTTCTCGGGCGGACGTTGCCTGACCCTTGAGCATATTTCCAAAGAACCCCGTAGGCTTCTCTCTGACTTGTCCATCTTTTCAGTCACTCTTATACAGATGTGGGTTGCGGGAGTATCTGGGTTTTCCTATGGTGGAGAAATCTTGAGAATGTCCCCCTAGAAGCAGATTATACACACGCAAGCGCGCGCGCACACACACAAACACAAACGCACGAGAACACACGCCTTGTTTCTATCAAAGTCAGAAACCCTCAGCCCACCTTCTCTGGTGCTGGTCACAAAACACAGAAAAGGGCCCCAGGGTCCCAGCAGCTCCAGGGAGCTCGGGAAGGCGCCATAAATCCGGCCTCGCGCGGGGTGGCCGGGTCTAGGTAGGCCGTCTCTTTGCGGCTTGTTATACTCGGACACTTGCAGCGCTAAGCACCAGGCCGGGAATGGAGGCGGCAGCAACAGCAGCCGCAGTTGCAGCCAAGCCGCAGGCTGACCAGGGTCATTCTTCAGCCCCAGGACCCTACTGAGAGATAGGGTCTGAGGGAGAAGGAACATTCATTAGACTGTCTTTAAACCCAAAGTCTTTCCCACAGCTGCAGTTACTGCCTTCTGCAGCTACGTGCCAGCCGGGGCCGCTCACTCCGGGAGCTGGGCTAGGGGCTTTCGGGGGCCAGCGCGCCTGGGCTTCCAGGTCGGCCCCTGTGCCTACAAAAGCAGCGACCACTTCCAAACCCGCTTCCTATAAATGGAGGATCCAGGGACCCAGTGCTCCCCTAGGGCAGGGAGTGGGGCTTGTCAGAGGAAAGAGGCAGAAAGAAAGCGCAGGAAGAAGAGAGCCCAAATGAACTCCCAACCCGTGTCCAAGGGTCCTCGGACGCCCTGCCCCAGAGAGCTTAGCCTACTGCTCTCCGACTCCTGGAGGAATCAAGAGACGAGCAAGGAAAACCGAAGGACGTTCCCACCAGACACGGGGTCGGAGTTCGGTCGGGGGAGATGCGCAGCCTCCAAGGCCATGCTGCGCGGGAGAAGGCAGCCTCCAGGGCCAAGACCTTAGGGCCAGTGCAAGAGAGAAGATGAAAGCAGGAAGGACCTGCCTCGCTTCCAGGAGGGCAGACTAACTGGAAAAGGAGCCGAGGCCATGGACACCGCATCCAGCCAGAGCAGCTGGGGAAAGCGTCAGCGCCGAAGCGAGAACTCCGGGCCTCCTTCGCCCCAACCGGGCGCGCAGCCCAGACTGCAGGAGCCGGACTCACCTGGCCCCGGCCCTTCTCCCCCTCGCACCTGCCCTACTTCCCCAATCTTCGGCCTTCCAACCCTGGGGGGACTTGCCTACGTACTGATAACACAGGAATACCGAGCCCAGCTTTGTTTAAACTGCCTCCCAAACTTCCGGGCTAGGGAGCAGAGTGGCTGTAAAGAGATGGCGGAGAAGGGAGACAGATAGGTTTCTCCACAGAAACGCCAAAAACTTGTCGGCGGAAACTTGGGCTAAGCTGGGAGGGGCGGGAGGGGCACTGAGGGACCCGCGGGCAGGGTTCCCGGTTGAAATCTTGGGACATTTCCCCAAGGCAGAACGAAACAGAAAGTAAGGGCGCTTTTGACAGCGCAACTCTCAGCGTCTATCCCAAGTTTCAACAGCAGAACTAGTCAGGCTCCCGGACTCACAGCACGGCTGGCTCCGGGCAGGCAGGGGTGAGGGCAAAAGCTGGAGAGAGCGAGGACAGAGAGAAGAGAAAGAATGGAAACACACACACAAACACACACACAGAGACAGACACAGACACACATACACACACACACAGAGCAAGCGAGAGTGAGAGAGATCTAGAGAGAGCAAGGAATACATAGGACTAAATCGAAATCTCACCACCCCCTAAATAATTTCCGTCCCCTTTTCACCCAAACTGCCAAATTTTCACTCTGCAAGCCTCACTCTCTTTATATTTGGGAATAAACATAACAACAAAAAATTCCATCCCAAAGCAAAAGTCTCCATTTTTTTCCTAGCCTGTTCTCTGCACCACCCCGCAACTTTCCTCAATAATTGTCCCTTGAACTGCTGAAGAGCTGTTTCTCCCCATCTCCTTCCCTTCTCGGTCTCTCCCCCACCCCCCCAGCCTTAACTCTCCCCTCTTCAGTCTGTTGGATGCCAAAGGCGGTGCTCTAGCGCCCACTATTTCAAAAGCCCGGTATAGGATTTGACCAGGACTGAGAACCACTGAGGGAGAGAGAGAGGGAGAGAGAGAGACAGAGAGAGAGGGAGAGAGAGAGAGAGAGAGAGAGAGAGAGAGAGAGAGAGAGAGAGAG